AGAAGGGGTTGGAGAAGGGATGGAAACGAAAGAGCAGGAGGGAGAAAAGACCATACAAAGCCGAGGGCTGAGGCCCAAGGTAAGGAAGATCCCTGCATTGGGTCTGTCCTCGTCTCCTAAGCCTCCCACGACAACAACGCGATTGGGGGGAGGGGGTTACAGAGACAGAGACAGATATACATAGATAGATTAGATAGGTTGGATAGATTACAGATAGAGATAGATTACAGATAGAGACAGCTTAGAGATAGAGATATATTACAGATAGAGATAGATAGATAGATATACATATATATAGAGATAGATAGATTATCTATCTATATAGATAGAGAGATGGAGACACAAGAACATCTATGGTACAGTACAAGAGCTTCATGCACACTAAAGCTGTGTTCACAATGAGGGTAAACACCATAACCAAATCATTATCCATTTCACATGTTTGGAAGGTGGGTAGTTGAACACTATGACATCAGAGGCAGGAAAATCAAGAAGAATCCATCAAAAATTTTGGCCTTCATCTCGTTTGTGTATACATGTATCATATTTATTGAAAAAATATACTGTCAAGATTTAAGGTCATTAGCAGCATATTTAAAATATAGTGATAGGGCGAGGCTTGGGGGCAAAGCCCCAGGGTAAGGAAGGCTTTTGGTTCATAAGGCGATGTTTGTGACTTCCCAGAATGGTTAATGTTCAGAAGAAATTATGTGTCAGACATCAAAGGTCATATAGCAATATGATAATGTATTGTGGCAATAAGGATAAAAATCAGTTAACAATTAGGGCAAAATGTGTTCGGTTAGCATAGTAGAGAAAAGGGTAAAAGAACAAATGAAGTACGAAGGCCGTTCTGGGCTGACACAAAGCCAGCCTTTCATACTTTCAAGGATGGCTCTCACACCTTAGGGAGTGAACAGAAAGGGATGAAGAAGAGAAGGAAAAGGAAAGGGGGACAAGATCATACAAATTAGTTGAGGCAAGGCTTGAGATTCCAGCTAGAGGTGATCCCCTACCATGGGCCTCAGTCTCCATTTCCTAAGCCCCCCCCCCTCATGACAACAACCAGCAAGGAATTGGGGGTTAGGGAGGGGGGGTCTCGTGAACATAAAAAAAGTGTGCCCCTTATAGCCAGAGCCTGTTGCCCCAGAACACTTCAGCAGGTAACGCGGGTTTAGAAGCGAGTAATACCCTCTGAAGCCAGGCACAGCACATGCCCTGCCTCCCATGTAAAATGGCTTAACATTTCAATTGTTCTTTTCTATTTGCCACAGAAAATGTATCTTAAAAAAACACATTTTATACTATATACTTTATTTACAGTGAGAATGGCTGTACAGATTGTAAATAAGACTAAAGATATAGGAAACTCATGGTAGTATTTAACCCAAAATAAAACTATATATGTATACTGCGAACTGCAATAAAGCTTATGAAAATATAAATAATACAAAAATAAATCATTCATTCCTGTATGTCTGTTTAGGCACCAGGATACAGTCTTAAGAACTTACAGCAGTCAGTCAGTAAGATTCTGGCACAACCATGTAAGAAATTAATCAAGCTTTTATGTTCATCTTTCATATTTTTCCCTTTTTCAGTATCAATGACTAGCTTCTGGTACTTTCATGGCATTTAAGTTGGTTGTGGTGAAAGCTGTAATAAATTGCACTTTATTGATATCTATATAAGCATTTTTATTTCATTTTATTTTTTATTTGTAAGCAATATTAACAAATACAATTATTTTCATTATTTAACTGCCTGGGACAATGATCTTAAAGAGTCAAGTCATTTTCTTCTAGGTTTTCCCATACCCTTTAATGGACATGTACAAAAATGTGATAATCCTTCCAATGAAAGAGAAGGTTGACAGATGACCAAGATGTAACACATGCCTTTTTTGTCCTTTGTAATCTTTGTTCATTGTTTGTCTTCAATATATGCCATGAAAGTATAGGTTACAAACTGTTACATAGTAGGTTGTTTTCAGAACTGAAACTGACTCTCCGCCATAAATATAAGCATAACCATAGCTTAAATTAGAAGAAAAAAAATCTTTGCTAAAAGAAATGCTTGTAATTACTGTGAATTTATTTGCATTACCAACTAAGTGCATGATCAAATCTGCCTTCCAGAGAAAGCAGCATACAAATCCCTAAACATATGAAATTAAAGTGATGGTCTACGCATTCTCAATACTTGAATACCTTTTACTGTAAATCTCTACAGAAAACACTGCCCTAAATCATCATCATACGTTTTCTCATTCTACTTCTCTCTTGAGCATTAAGCCCAAAACATTTATGGCGGCTGAAAAAGAGAGAGAGAAAAATAACAAAACAGTAAAAACAAAATGTTACTATAGTTCTCTATGCTGCGTAACAGCTGTGTGAAAAAGGACCAAGATATTCATAGAATATCTACATGATATTCACAGATCTCTTATAGTTTTACCATAAATTAAGATACAGAAATTACTAGATTATTCTCTTAATTTCAAAATTCTAATACACACATATCACAAGCAATCAATAAAACATGGGATTACAGAACACACAACTTTCCAAAATTTCCTGACCAGCTTCTTCTTCAGTAGTTTTTACAAACGGTCTTACATACATTGAAAGTGATACACGGCACCTCTAGAGTAATATAATAAAAGCCGGCCTAGAAATTATGCAGTTATTTCCCTTGCAGTCTCATCTACACTGTAATTTGTGGATTCTTGCATGAGACTGGACTTTCCTGTTTGTCAGTATATGATAAACCAAGTAATACACGGGTGAAGAACACCCAGGTCTTGTTACATCTGATACACTACTACCAGACAGAATTCACTGTTAGTTAACACATGGACTCCAATTCTGTCAAGTTTACAGAGTTGTTGAATAAACCCAGTGTTTAAGTCTGACAGAGTTCAAATACCAGAGAACAGTTGTTTGGAAACATTATCAGTCATCAACTCTCGTGATATAAAGCATTGTAAAATATAAGAAAATGCATGACAGTTTAAAAAGGTGAAGAATGTCCTTAATTTTTTTTTCGATATTAAGATTATTAGAGTAAAGGTAATGGAAACTACAAATCCTATTGTTGCAGTATAACAGGAACTCTTTTTTTCATATAAGGGAAAGGAGTGCCAGTGATAAAGAATGACAACTTGCAGTAAGAGCAAACTTCTTCATAAATATATCATAGCTAGAAAAAAAAGGTTTTAGTCAGAAAAGCTCAGCAAAAATATGTTAGCAAAGAAAGATGTTCAATGGTTTAAAATACTGAGAAGAAAAGTCTATACGATGGGTAATGATCACAGGATAAATTATCTTCTTTTTCTAATACAACAAAGTCATGTGAAGTATGGGATACGTTAATTCAGTTCAAAGCCAGTCATACATCCTGATACAGGATAATCAACTGTCATCAAATGCATCTGTGAGGTATTTACATGTCATTTTGTTGATACCATCCTTTCTCTCTCTCTAAAAAAAGAAAAATAATTATAATGAAAAATAAATCAAATAGGAAGGATGTTACTCACAACTTTATCATTATTGATTTTTTGTTCACTATGGTCATGGGGTCAAATAAAATAATCTATTGAGGGAAAAACAGGTTTTGTCATGTAGAATGACACCAGGAATGATTGCTATGACGATTGTATTTCGTCTGGTAGTTGAAGGATGATTGCCACATTTGAGCAAATGTCTACACAATCAGGGACAGATCCTGGATCACAAAAGATTCAGTCAGCTCTAACCATGATCCAAGTGTGTATATAGCCTGTTCATATATCTTGTATTAATCACATGTTCACTGAATTGTTCCAACAACATTCAACTCTTGCTTGGAAACAATGGCTAGAGGGGTAAGTTAATTAAGTATTGAAATTACAATGCATTATACAACCTTTCATTATAAAAATATAATTAAATCCTCTTGCGAGAATATCTAAGGCTACAGTTCTCTTCACTTAACTTATACATTCCAAGATTCTCTACACTTCTACCTGAGGCCACATGCTCTACTGCACAACATTTACTTTAGCCCAGGATCCGTCCCCAATACTGCCCAATTAGAACTTTATCTAAGAGCTATTACCCTTATAAACATGTTCAGTCAAAGTACTGTCAAGGTGTAGAAACTAACTGTAAAATATGGTAAGGATCAAGTCAGAAACTGAAGGCAAGTCTTGGTAAGCAACTTCCACAAAGACCATAATTTAGATCAGCTGGCAGCACATGATTCCAATGACTTTTACAAAGATTCCTCTCCAGATTACTACTTAAGCAATTTCAACTTATGAGTCTTTTATTAACAAGTAATCTAAAGCCATAAATCATATTGAAAGACTCCAGAATGCACTCAAACCAATGTGAAGCAAGAAACTTTGTAAGAAACCGATCCAATATTTTTCCTTAAATAGTGCAAGATTACTGGAAGGTTTGGGCTTAAGTTCTGTATTATTGAAAAAGGACTAGGTAATGCTTTTCTTTTCTGACAATTAGAGTGACAGGGGCAATGATCATATCTCTTAACAAAATTATTAGTTTTTTCCTGGATGATGACTAATTTATCTACAAGGGTGACAGCACATTTCTTCATTCCATGAGAATTACTATATTATGACTTAGCTATGAACACACATTCTCAATATGCTGATTCACATTTCTTTTTAAAAATACTTATAATGACATGTTTCACCTAATATGTAAAATAAATACGTAAATTTCACAACTTGATTACCATCAAACAAAGAACATCCTAGTCCTCCACTATGAAGGATATGGCTCTCTTAGCCATGTGAATGCTGCTAACTTGCTATGCATTCATGTTCCTCCTCCTCCAGTGTCTGTATCCAATGCATTATCAGAAATACTGCTAGGTTGAGAGACTCCATATGCAGCAAGCTCTGGAAGGAGAGGCAGGGGTCTAGCTGGCCAGTATCGCACAGCCTTCATGCTCTCTGCTTCACGTTGTAGTTTATGGAGACTATGCAGAAGGGGCCATACTCGTTCCTCCAGCCACTCACCAACTGTCCAGTCATCAAACCACTCAGATAAAGCTTCTCGAGCTGTCTTCATGAGGAGAGTTACAGCATGAACTCTTGCCGGTAGTTCCTCCAGGTCTTCATCCACTCGCATTGGAGAGGAGAAGTTGTGGCGCCGATTGTAATCTGTGATCCATCCACGACTCTTGGTTACTCGCTCAATATAGGCATCAACATCACGTTTGGTAGCATCTAAACGGGCTGTAACCTTGAACACCTGTGCACCAGGGAAGAAGCACCAAGAAAACTTGTCCCAGAGATATGGGTCAGCATCAAGGTTAAGCCAAGACTGGTATTTTGGAGTCTGCATGCAGTTGAGGGCCTGATACAATTGTCCCTGAACTGAGGCATTGAAGAATCCATGTGATGTTGCAATCAGATTCACTGAGAGTGATGGCAGGGCAGCAGGAAGCAGTTCACAGAGTACGGCAAAATGATCATATCGCTGCCAACCAGTCAGGACTATTCCACGGAAACCACCAGTGAATTTTCGGTCTTCGGTGGCCATTACATCAAGCCAATTGAGATTGTTATCCAAGTGTCTCCTTACATTTGGTACTGTCAGCTGTTCACCAAATGCACCTTTAAATGCTGATGCTGCCCAAACACGAGGGAAAATCTGACCATATTTGCTCCATACTGATGGCTGGACAAACCTGTAAACATCTTCAGCATAGACCCATACCATTGGTTCAACAAGATCTCCTAGATGCACCTCCTGCATAGCTGACTCTGAAACATGGCGTAACATATCGTCCCAAACGAGAGGGAACAAGCTCCATACTTATTTCCGGAATATTTTGCAAACAGCTTTTTGGACAACCGAGGGTAGGGTGGCTACGGCTGCCTCAGGATGCATAATAATGGTCTAACTATGCATATTGGTGCTGTTGAATGAAAAGGTGCTACAGAGTTCGGGGGCTATGCTACGCTCGTAGCAGTAGCATCACGGAGTGGACTTTGTTTTGAACAACTCTCGATACAGCACACCACTATGACTCAATGATAATTGAGCAGACCACATACTAGTGGAACGTGTGTTGCAGAACCTATTGAATCCGTGAGTCAAACATAGAGATTGGGCGAGCTCGTACTCCATCAATTGTGAGTGTGACTCTAGATTTGATATGTGTGACACGAAACGGTGCTTGCAGGCAGCTCTGCTCATGCGCACGGTACGTTCGCATTCTAGAGTAAGTCACATATAGCTTTGCGATGCCTTACAACATGGCAATACTCAGATGGGGCTTAAAAAGTATGAACACACGTTGAGGAAGAATCCACTTTCTTATTACAGGTTCTCATTGCACTCTACGTCACCAATTGCTGCCGTTACCGGAGGGTAGCAATCAATGTTTTCATTGAATTTTATTTATAGTTTGTCTTCCTTAGCTGCAATTGTAGTCCATACGAGGAGGTGGACCTTTTCCTTGAGGCAGGCGGACAACTCATAGTCATTTAATACGAGTGCTACTCCTAGAATGTACTGGCAGTGAACGACGCTATGCCTTGCCCAGCCAGCATGGGATGCAAGTTTGCAAAAGGGCTGAATCTTGTTGGGCTCCTTTCAAGTCAAAATGCACTACACGCGCTGTGCGGTATGTAATTAGGTTGTCCTGTGGCGACCATACACAGGTTCGCCATAGGGATTTGTAACGGTACTGAGCTCCTGCCACACTCCACAGCATCCACAAATCGTAAAGGCACACAATAGAGTAATACTAAATTTCGTTCTAGTCTAGTGAGCTTAGAAAATCTCTCACATGGGGCGTTCACTGCTAGTATGTACGCAGAACACTCCTTTGAGACTGCTGCTTACCGGTGGAAAATTACTGCTGACTGATGTGAGCTAGCTCAGAGCATGTCCATCATGTATGTCTGCTCGCGTAGCACTTTGTGAGGAGACTCGAGAGGTGTCTCTGCTTGCCTCTGACCATGCACATTTCTACATTCTTGAGGCTGATATACAGTCGTCAGATTGACGGACACATCACATCTGATTCTTACTCAATACTGCCAATCATGCATTGCTCATTGCTGCGCCACTCACCGAGTGTGCTGGGTCATGCCACTTCCTAGTAGTACAACTTCATCAGCATGACCAACAGCATACGCATACTCTAGTGACTTTGGCGCTTGTTGCACCATGGGCCATCCTAGCTCTCAACTTGTGAGGAGGTACAGAGTCTTTGGTACGCGGCCACTGTGTCTGCGCATAGTGGCATGCTCTGTGGAAGCAGTTAGATCTGAACGAGTTCTCTGTGCGGCATACGTGCGAGTATCACCAATTACGCGCTGAGCAGGTGAACACCACACCACGAATGCTTGTCCCAACCGAGCTGCTCCAGCCAGTTGACGCCAGCTTACTACTTCGAGCTCGCACGCAATGCCAACGCCGAATTGAGCTTACACTTTAGAAACTGAGATGAGACGTGCAGAGAGTGTAGATG